GAAAGAGCTGGAGCCCACCGGGCAGGACCGGGAGCTCTCACCTTGGGAACAGGGAATTCATCCCAGCCCATCCCAGTCCATCCCAGTCCATCCCAGCCCATCTCAGTCCATCCCAGTCCATCCCAGGCTCTGCTCCAGCACAGCCAAATCTCCGCAAATCCAAAAAGAATCGGAGCTGCCACTGTCTGCACCAGGGGAGGAAAAAATCCCCCAAAGTCTCCCCAAATCCCCCCAAATCCCCCCAAATCCCTTTGTCTCTTCCCCACCGGAGCTGCAGAGCAATTCCGGAGCCTGAGGGTTTCACACCCGGCTCCGCGGCCTCCTCCTGTTGAGATTTAATTTGTTTAATGACTCGGGAGCCCCGGGGGTTCCTGCGTGTCAGCTCCCCGCTCTCCAAAGGATTTTCTCTCCACCCAGAACTGGAGGGATTTGGTGAAATCATCACCAAGACAAGATTTAGGAAATTTCCCCCAAATTCCCGGCGTCCTCTGACGCAGGGACGCAGCGGGAATGCTGGATTCAGGAAAAGGAGCTGCAGATCCCCCTGGATTCCTGTCCATCCACCAGCAGAGCTGGGATAAATCCCAGCCTGGAAAAGGAAAGGAAAAAGGGAAATGTGCTGTGAGATGTGATTTGTGTTTGAAATCCAACCTCGCTCCTGCCAGCCTGGCCTGGAACATCAGGGTGGGAAAAACCGGGATGCTCCAGCCCTGACCGGAGTTTAGAGCTTGGGAAAGAAAGGGGAAGGGAAAAGGTTGGGAATGCTGATGGTTTGTCCTGCACAGAGCTGGGGGAGCAGCTGTGGGGATTGGGAATGGTGGGATGGGGGGGTCCAGTGGGATTGGGAATGGTGGGATGGGGGATTCCAGTGGGACTGGGAATGGTGGGATGGGGGATTCCAGTGGGATTTGGGTTCTGGAAGAGATGGGAGCCCACTGGAGGCTGATATCCTGGAGGAGTTGGGATCCTGGAGGAGTTGGGATCCTGGAGGAGTTGGGATCCTGGGGGAATGGGATCCTGCGGGAGTTGGGATCCTGGGGGAATGGGATCCTGGAGGAGATGGGATCCTGGAGGAGATGGGATCCTGCAGGAGATGGTAGTTCCAGTGGAGTTGGGATCCTGGTGGAGGTGAAGGTCCTGGAGGAGCTGAGGGTCCTGGGGGAGTTGGGATCCTGGGGGAATGGGATCCTGCGGGAGTTGGGATCCTGGGGGAATGGGATCCTGGAGGAGATGGGATCCTGGAGGAGATGGGATCCTGCAGGAGATGGTAGTTCCAGTGGAGTTGGGATCCTGGTGGAGGTGAAGGTCCTGGAGGAGCTGAGGGTCCCAGGTGGGATCCTGGAAGAGAAGGTGATCCTGATGGGTCCCTGTGGGATCTGGGGTGTCCCTGTGGGATCTGGGGGTCCCTGTGGGATCTGGGGTGTCCCTGTGGGATCTGGGAGTCTCTGTGGGATCTGGGGGTCCCTGTGGGATCTGGGGGTCCCTGTGGGATCCGGGGGTGCCCGGGACACCCCTGGCTGTGGGACATCCCCACCCCAGCCGTTGGCAGCACCTCCCTCCATTGTTTCCCGAGCTGCGTTTTTCCCTATGACCTCATCTTCCCTCGGCTCCCGCCGGCGATTTTATGATTTTATGGCAGGGAAATGATTGTGCAGCCAAAGGAAAGCAGATCCAGGCTTCTCTTCTTCCCCCCAGCCCGTGTCCAGCCGGGTTTGTTTCTGCTCCAGCAGCAGCACAGGGATGGTGTGAGGCCAGCTCCGCTCAGGAGCGTTTCCCTGTTCCTGCAGGAGCACGAGAGGCACCAGGCAGAGCTGGCAACGATTCCCCTCAGGAACCAGCCCTGGACACCAAAGCTTCCCAGTTATCATCAGCAACATCCAGACTGGGACTGGGGTTTATCCAGGCTGGCATTTGGGTTTATCCAGACTGGAATTGGGGTTTATCCAGGCTGGGATTTGGGTTTATCCAGACTGGGACTGGGCTCCTCCAGGCTGGGATTTGGGTTTATCTAGACTGGAATTGGGGTTTATCCAGACTGGGATTTGGGTTTATCCAGACTGGGACTGGGCTCCTCCAGGCTGGGATTTGGGCTCCTCCAGGCTGGGATTTGGGCTCCTCCAGGCAGGGATTTGGGCTCCTCCAGGCCGGGGTTTGGGCTCCCAGGAGCGCTGGGCGGGGGCAGGGGAGCAGCGGGAGGCGATGCGGCAGCGGCTCGGCTTTAATTGCGGCGCGGCTGCCAAGCCCAACAAAGCGGCTCAGGAAGAACAGAAGCCATTCTATTCAGCAGCCGCGGGCTGTGGCCGTGCCCAGGGGAGGGGCGGGAGGTGAAATCCATCCCTTTTCCCGGCCCAGGTGACTCAGGTGCCGCGATC